TAGTATAGCTGATTACCTCTGTGTAGAGTGTGTCTCCTGTACATAACCTGCACCTTGCCATCGTTTGTTTTTAAATTGTTTACAAGGTAATGAATTTATGGCAGTTGTATACATATATGCCATTGTACTTTGTTCATATTCTCTCCCTATCTCTTCCTGTCGTTCCTGAATGGCCTGTCCCAACAGATGGTTCCTCACGGGGGTTTAAGTTTTCTGAGTTTTATTTTAATTTTATTTATTTGTGTTTTTTAGCTGAATCAGCAAGTTTTGTTCATATAGTCATTCATGCATATATATACTTACATGTATTTTCTCTCTATCTCTTTTTTTTGGGGGGGGGGTTGGGGTTTGAGACAGAGTTTCTCTGTGTAGCTTTGGAGTCTGTCCTGGAACTCACTCTGTAAATCAGGCTGGCCTTGAACTCATAGAGATCCACCTATCTCTGCCTCCCACGTGTTGGGATTAAAGACCTGCACCAGTGTGAGAAAACACACTGATGCTTTCTCAATTTTAAATTAATATTAAAAGCAAAGTTGTTATTCAGCAAAAATGAGACTTTCTTTTTTTAAAAAAATGTTTATTTAAGCCGGGCGGTGGTGGTGCAGCCTGGTCTACAAAAGCTAGTTCCAGGACAGGCTCCAAAACCACAGAGAAACCCTGTCTCGAAAAAACAAAAAAAAAAAAATTTATTTATTCATTATGTGTACAATATTCTGTCTGTGTGTATGTCTGCATGCCAGAAGAGGGCACCAGACCTCATTGCAGATGGTTGTGAGCCACCATGTGGTTGCTGGGAATTGAATTCAGGACCTTTGGAAGAGCAGGCAATGCTCTTAACCACTGAGCCATCTCTCCAGCCCTATTTTTTTTTCTTTCTAATTTTAATGAAATCTTTATCCCACTAATAATAGCCTGAAAATAATTTTCTGAAAGAAGGGATGGTGGTTCAGTATGAATTTCACTGAGGAAATAAAATCAGATTGGAAAATCATAATTGAACTGCTTAGTTCTGAATAGTTGTAAAGAGTTCTAAGTAGCCCAGTACTAGAGAAGGGGCTGCAGACTGAATGACCGAATAAGCTCTGTGGAATATCACGTAGTCATTAAGAATGTGATGGGGAACTTCAGCCAGTCGCATGCTGCTTAAGGTTGTCCTCCTGGGGCCACACAAAACCAATAAAAACATCCAGGAGCGTTTCTCTCTCTCTCTCTCTCTCTCTCTCTCTCTCCCTCTCTCTCTCTCTCTCTCTCTCTCCCTCTCTCTGTGTGTGTGTGTGTTTCTGCGCTCCTGAATTGCTGAAACCCTGGGTTTGTGAGTTCCCTTTCTTTTTATTAAAGCTGAATATATTTTATTAAACTGGTGTGGTTAGTTACCGATCGACCACGCCCATCGAGAATGAAATGGCTGGGCAGTGGTGGTGCACCTTTAATCCCAGCATTCAAGGCCTGCCTGGTCTACAGAGTGAGTTCCAGCACAGCCTGATTGGTTACACAGAGAAACCCGAAGAATGAAATGAATCCAAAGCTCTGATGCTTTTGAAAAGACCTTTTAGGTGGAAACAGCGAGCCGTAGAACCCTGCATAGTGTGTACCGTTATTTTATTTTGTGTGTTGGGATACGCTTGCATATACATAAAAGTGTAAACACCACATCTCTTCTATCGTGGTCTGGAAACCCGAGCACTGAGCTTATAACTGCAGCTGCCTCTGGAAGGGGATGTGGGGTCTCACAGGAGCTGAAGAGCTTCAGGGTGGACTCTGGATTTTTATTCTGTTTTTAGTAATTAAATTTTTAGCCGAGAGCATTTATGTATTGCTTATCCAGGTGAGAAAGAAATACTGCAAAGGTGAGGAATAGATGTAGTTTTCATAGGCCATCCTTGATAGCGATGCATTTTTTTCCTTTTAGTTTTAGGCCTTTGGCTATTGTCATCTGTCATATCAGAGTCTATCATCATATCAATATCTATCATATCTATATATAAATTCTAGCTGGCAGAAGTACAACCACAGTTTCACTTCCAGTTCCTTTTTGCAAGTTTCTATTTGGGGACCCTTAAATAATTGATGTCTAAGAAGTTTCTTGCTGTTGCCTTTTGTCGCATTCAGGAAGCTCCAGATGAGGAAGCATAGAGCAGGAAAGATGTTAAACGGACTAAGTTTTATTATACATCTCATTGGTACCTTTCTCCCGGGGATTTTTGTTTATTTAGTTTTGGGTTGTTTTGTTGTGGTTGTTTTGAGACAAGGTTTCACCTTGTAGCCCTGGCTGTCCTAGAACTCACTATTTAAACCAGGCTAAGATCCGCCTGGAGCTGAGATTAAGGATGTCTGCCACTATACCCGACTTTCCTTGGGGAATTTTGTGCTCTGTAACTTTGTGTGAAGTAAAACAGCAGATAAATACTGTAGGTTAATGACAACGCTAGGCCCTCAGCTAGGAACGTGTAAACACCACATCTCTTCTATCGTCGTCTGGAAACCCGAGCACTGAGCTTATAACTGCAGCTGCCTCTGGAAGGGGATGTGGGGTCTCACGGGAGCTGAAGAGCTTCAGGGGAGACTCTGGATTTTTATTCTGATTTTAGTAATTAAATTTTTTAGCAGAGAACATTTAACTACTGGCTAAATCTTACACAGCTGCTAGACATTCTAAAAAGCGGCCAGCATTTTCCATTGTGAAGAGATAGCCATCCAGTGGAGACTTAGGGGTCTCATTGTCAACTCAGCAGCACATTTTAAATGTACTCTACACATAAGCTCAGCTTTTCTACCCTTGCTTTAACAGATGGTTCCTGTTAAATTTTTAAGTGATAATGCCAGGCAGTGGTGGCGCACGCCTTTAATCCCAGCACTCGGGAAGCAGAGACAGGCGGATCTCTGAGTTTGAGGGCAGCTTGGTCTACAAGAGCTAGTTCCAGGACAGTCAGGGCTGTTATACAGAGAAACCCTGTCTCACCCCCTCAAAAAAAAATTTGATTATATTTAATAATGTTTATCTTGTTCTGTACTCATTCAGCAAAGAATAGTTAAGTAAACTGGTGGATTGTTGCACACGTATAATCCCCGCACATTAGAGGTTGAGATAGGATAAATTAAGCCAGTGTAGGCCTCTTACCTGTGTCAGGAAGAAAATATACATAGATTAGAAAAGAAACGATGGAAATCACCCCTAAACCCTTCCATTCTTTCCATGTTTGTAGCATTTCATAGACAGCACTCCAGAAGCTGGGGGAGGAGGATTGCTTTGAGTTTGCGGTCAGCCTGTGAGACTATCAAATAAATGAATAAACAAGAAGTAAATGGTGAATGTAGGGAGGAGTTAGCGAAAATTTCTTTTGTTTGGGAGAACGTGAGAGCCACCTTCATGTGTAAGATCTTGGAAAGCTCAGAATTTTATTCCTTTATTTATTCATTTTTGAGTCTTCTTACATAGCCCAGGCTAGCCTTGAACTCATGAGCTTTCTGTCTCAGCCATTGAGAGACTTGCGGTAGAAGGAGTTCAGAAATTTGGAATCAGCTGTGCAAAATGGCCGTAGTAAGACCTTCTGTTTAGGAAAGTTGTTGGTTTGTTTGGGATGGTTGTTACAAATAAATAGACATACACACACACACACATAGCCAAGGCTGACTTCAAACTCACTGTGTAGCCAGCCTAAGACAACCTAAGTCTCCTGCCTCCACTTCTGGAGTACACAGATTACTAGAGTGTGCTACTATGCCTGGCCTTCCCCCCTGCCCATTAATGAAAAATAAAAAAATACAGGAAATAATAACTGATAAGAAGCAAACATAAAGCAACTACATTTTTGCTTGTATATTTATTAATTTTCCATCCTTCACTCCTCACCCTACAGGAAGTCCTTGGAGATTTCTTTTGATAATTGGCTGTATCATTTTAGGAAGGAAGAAGAAAAAACTCGGGGCGATTTTTTTTGAGCAAATGTAGACTCTCTGTTCACTCTGCACTGTAGTCAAGCCCAGTGGTGTATGGCTTATATATGCAAAACAGGATCCTCTTATTGTCTTGTGGACTTTTGTTTTTGTTTTGTTTTGTTTTTATTTTTTTAAGATCTATTTATTTATTATGTATGCAATATTCTGTCTGTGTGTATGCTTGCAGGCCAAAAGAGGGTACCAGACCTTATTGCAGATGGTCGTGAGCCACCATGTGGTTGCTGGGAATTGAACTCAGGACCTTTGGAAGAGCAGGCAATGCTCTTAACCCCTTGTTTTGTTTTTTGAGACAAGGTCTCGCTGAGCCTTACTCACCCTTTCAGCTAGGCTGGCAAGCCATTGAGCGCCTCCGTCTGCATGTCTCCAACCTGCAGTGCAAAAGTGGAATTTCAAGGGTGCATCAGCATGCCCAGCCTTTTAAAAATGTGGGCTCAGGTCCTCTGGCTTTCATAGCAAGTGATTTTCCTCACTAAGCCGTTTATAGCTCCCTAGCCTTGTTTTCTTTATTTACTTATTTTGTTTTTTTGAGGTAGGGTTTCTCTGTAGCTTTGGAGCCTGTCCTGGAACTAGCTCTTGTAGACCAGGCTAGCCTCGAACTCACAGAGATCCGAGTGCTGGGATTAAAGGTGTGCACCACCACCGCCCGACTTAAAAAGTCTTTCTTTGTGCTCTAGGCTGACCTTGTCCTGGACACTTTCCTGCCTCTGCCTCCAGAAACGCAGGTTTACATGTACCACTACTATACCTATCTTAAAGAAATCTTAATCAAAATTAAACATCTAAGGTGAAAAAAAATAGTTTGTGGAGAAAGGTAGAAAGCCAAATTTTGAAATATGTTAGTATGATTGACAGAAGAAAATTTGAATGTGGTAAACTTCTAAAAAGGCCGACAGTTCATACATGTGTATAATGTGTTCTAATCACATTCCCTCCCTTCTCTTGGCCAACAAACCCTCCCACTTTGATGTCTTGTTTTGTTTTGTACTTGTTATTTGCTTGAGCAGCCTTTCAGGGAGTGCAGTCCTAATTCCAATCTTTTCCAGATTGCAAAGGTCGAGAAACTCAAACCACTGGAGGTGGAGCTCCGACGCCTGGAGGACCTTTCAGAATCAATCGTGAATGACTTTGCCTACATGAAGAAGCGGGAAGAGGAGATGCGGGACACCAATGGTGAGGGAGGATAGCGTTCATTTCTCAATGGGAGAACTGTAAAGGAGACAGATCCTGTAACTCTCTGCTAGAAGTCTGGGAAAAGTGGAATATAACCTAGAGAAGAAAATTGCTTCTTTGGGGCTATTGCTACTAAGAAATGAATCAGCTGGCTAGGTTTTCAGAAGAATAAAATTTTCTTCTGTGATATGTAATGACCATTTTCTCAGTTGGCTTGTAGCAAAGGATACCAATTTGTAATTTTTTTAAAAGATTTATTTATTATATATACAACATTCCTTTTATGAATGCCTGCACGCCAGAAGGGGGCACCAGATCTCATAATAGATGGCTGTGAGCCACCATGTGGTTGCTGGGAATTGAACTCAGGACCTCTGGAAGAGCGGTCAGTGCTCTTAACCGCTGAGCCATCTCTCCAGCCCCCATTTGCAAATTTTAACCATTTAAATGTGATTAGAAGCAAAACGGCACTGGAGCTAGAACGTAGAGCCTTGTGCATGCTAAGAAAGCCGTGTGCACCCCCACCACCCAGCCAGTGCTTTTCAACAGGGTCTTGTTACGTAGTGCAGGCCAACCTGGAGCTCAAGACCTGGTCTTAACCTCCCAAGTACTGAGATCACGAGTGTATTACTACACTTGTCTTTTTTTAATTGTTTGAACTCTGCGACTTCGGGACAGAATGAGGTTAATTAATTGTCTTCCCCCCTCCCCTCATTGTTTAGGCAACTGAAGCAACTTACTTCATTCCATTTATGATGCTCTCTCTCTCTCAGAGTCCACGAACACCCGAGTCCTGTACTTCAGCATCTTTTCCATGTTCTGCCTCATTGGACTGGCCACCTGGCAGGTCTTCTACCTGCGTCGCTTCTTCAAGGCCAAGAAGTTGATAGAGTAATGAGGCTCAGTCTTCAGTCCCCTGGTATCTCAGCCAGCAGAACATCGCTGGGACGTGCCTGGCCTATGTAGCTCAAGGCCATCTACTAACAGTACCACCCAGGCACAGTGGAGCTTTCTTGCCAGAACTGATTTCTTTTGGTGTGGGAGAATATGGGGCACCACCTACACCCAGCAAGTCAATGAGGACTTCTTTTTAATGTGGTAGGATTTGGACTGGTTTTTCAACAAGATTATTAAAGTCACCTATGGAAAAACAAAACAAAAATAGGGGTTACGTAGATAATGCCAAAGCCAGCATTCGCCCTGGGTTCCCTCACGTGATCCGTTTGAGCTGTTTGCTTTTATTTCCCACTTGCTCATCGCCTTGATCTTCCGCCCTAATTCTTCCCGGTATTTCTATGACCGTGGTCAGCTTGTCTCATGCCAGTTGTCCTCTTCGGCATCCTTGTGAAAACACCATGGACTTTCTTTTGGCCCTTAGGTGAAATGTTTACATAGCTTCTGGTGAGATCCTTCATAATTCTGTCTCCTAAAAGGGTCGTGGATGGGTCACATAAAAACGTGAACTTTGAACTGTAAGTAATCTCTTCAAAGAAAATCTCAATTTTAGACATTAAAATGTTCGTGTTCAACTGCTTGAACTCCATGTGTGTGTTTTTAGTTCTGTCACGTGTAGACCCCAGTGATCATTTCAAGGTACTGCCCTACCTTTTCAGCTCTGGCTCCCCAGTCTGCTTGCCACTTCTGTACCTTTGTTACTTTGTTATGTAAATGGATCATCAAGAGTGTAACCTTTGGAGGTTGACTTCCCACTCAGTATAATCCCTGTGAAATGCCCCTCCAGGTTGTTGCATGTATTGCTAGTTGATTCCTTTTCGTTGCTGATCCTCCTCCAGGTTATGGATGGTAGGCATTGTGCTTAAAGGTCATTATGGGTGGGTTTGGGGATTTGGCCCTTAACTAGTAAGGCTCTTATGTGAATGCAAGTTTTCATCACTCTGGGATGAATGCCTAAGCCGGCATTTGCTCTGCCGTGTGGGAAGTAGTTCTTAAAAGAAACTTCCCTGCTCTGGTCTAGAGTGGCTATAGCATGTTACGTTTCCTCATTCTCATTAGTATTTCTTATCATTGGTGTTTTAACTTAGCCCCTTGAATAGGTACCTGTAATATCTCATTATGGTTTTAATTTGCATTTTCCTTTCATGTGCTAGTCATTTGCCATCCGTATGTCCTTGTCGGTGGAATGTCTGTTCATGCTTTCATCCATTTGCTACCTGGGTCACTTGTTCACGTCGCTGGTGAGTTTTGTGTAGGTCTTCTATCAGACATGCGGTTGCTTGAATTTTTCACATAACTTCTACCAGGGAAAAATAACTAATAACTACATTTTACCAGCCCTTCATGCATGGCCAGTCACTGACTCCTAATTCCTGTCCTTATACGTCCTTAATTTCTGTCCTAATCTCCAGAGAATTGGACATACAGGGTTTAAATAGACATTTTAGGAGAGTCACAGAAAGGTAAATACTTGAAAATACTTGTAAAAGCAAAGCCAAGGTTCACTTGTTGGGAGCATTAAGCACCTCAAGGCCAAGTCTAATGAACAAGATGTGGGGCTGGGAGTGTGTCTCGGTGGTCAGGTGCTTCCTGACACACAGAAGGCTCTGGGCCTGATCCCAACGCTAAGGGAAAGTAGCTCCAAACGTTTGTGAACAGGAAAAACACTCATTTGTCATCTGAGACCTTTCCCACTTCTCCCAGGACAGTAGGGAGGAGTTCTCTCTGTAATCTTTCTACCCTGCTTGTCTTAATTGCCCTGCTGAGAATTACAGGACCTAGGTTCATGTTGCTTGCAGTAAAAGAGTGGACTATGGAAATTAGCAGAGAACACTGTTAGGTTGACCCGGATGCAGTATGAGGGTGAAAGGGAATGATTTGTGTTGTTAAAGTCCAGGCTGTTCTGTTAAGGTTCCAGTTACTGTAAACTCCAGTCTTCTTTGTGGCATGAAGCCGTCTATGGTACAATACTGCCATCTGCTGTTGTAAATGACAAGTCTTGCTCCTAAGAATTTAGAAGTTGAGTCCTCACCATAACAACAGATGTTCAGGAATCTGTAACATTCATATATCAAATGATAGAGGAACAATTCAAGTAAGAAAAGAATAAACAAAGTTTTGGGTCAGAATCCATCTGTAGACTTAAGTGCAAAACCGTAGCCTGTGCCATTAGCCTAACAAGAGACTCCTATTTCTGACTTGTGCCTTTCCCCCTTTTAAAGAGCAATGAAAGCTACTCTGTTAGTTATGGTTTTCTGTTCTAAAAATGTCAAAGAAAGTAGGAGAAAGTAGAGTAAGTGTTTTGTCCATATTTTTTATTTCCAAGTACGGCTCTAACCTTAAGCTTTGTAGAACTGAAATTCTTTCAAGTCCTTTTCTTTGTTTTGATTCATGCCAAAAACAACCAACTTGGACATTGTGTTTTCAGTTACAAAGTTAACTGAAAAGCATTTGCCTTTGACAACAGGCTAGCACAAAAGCATATCAGCTTTATAAACAGGTATGTTATCTGTTTCCCTCCATCTTCAATATTCAAAATAATCTGAGAATAATAGTTTCAACAAACCTTGTTATATCCCATTGTCATGAACCCCTCAGAGCCATTCTTCTGTTTGTTAATGGAAAGAGGCATGTGGGATTTATACAGACTCACCTGTTGGAGATTTGTGTGTAAACTTTCACAAATAAAGGCTAGCAGAAACCACTTGAGGTGTACTTTACTGCTCCTCTTTAGTGCCTTCTTGTCTGGTTAGCAATGATCCCTCTCGTTCCTGCTTTGTACAGTACAGTAAATGAAACATGATGGATTAAAGAAGTACAGCCCTTAATTTACTCAGGTGGGTGAAGTTTATAGTGAACTAGTAAGCCCTTACATACATGCATTCCTTGTGTGTTGTCAGAGGGACAGGCAGGCCTGTGAACTGGAATTTGTTTCTCCAGTTCCCCCTTGCTTCTGTTCCGGAAGTACCCCTCTCAGTTTAGACTCTGCAGTGCTTTATTTGTTCATTTTTGGCCTATCTGGGTAAATTGCACCTCAGACAACAAAGCAATTTTTCTTCCCCTTTCACTTTTTAACATTTTCATGAATATTCCTTTTTAAATTTTTATTTATCTTTATGTGTATGGGTGTTTTGCCTGCATGTGTGTCTGTGCATACCTGGGGAAGCTGAAAGCCAGTGGAGGATTCAAATCCCCTGGGACTGGAGTTACAGACAGGTGTGAGCTGCCATTGGGAATCAAACCTGAGTCCCCTGGAAAAGCAGCAAGTAGTCTTAACTACTGAGCCATCTCTCCATCTCTCCCTGAATCTTTTTCCTAAAAGCCAACATGAAGTGATCTGGCCACACATACATACAATTAATTAGTAAATCCATAGTCTACTGTAAGTCCATTTTAAATGGTGCTTCCCAATATTTGAGGATTTTTTTTTTCTTTTTTTGAAACAGAATCTCTGTATAGGCCAGACTGGCCATAAACTCATAGCAGTCCCTGTGCCTCAGTCTTCCAGGTACTGCGATTGCAAGAATGAACCACCATGCCTGACCAAGTGTATTTTACCATCAAAGATTGTGGAAGCTGCGGAGATAGCTCAGTCAGCAAAGGGCATGGCCTGGGTTTGATTCCTAGCACTGATGTAAGAGGCTGGGCAAGTGCTTATAAGAGATGGCCTGAGATTATGATCCCAGTACTGGGAAGCGGAGGAGGCAGGTGGATCCTGGTGGCTCACTGGCCTGTCATCGTAGTCTAGTCATTGAGCTTTAGGTCCTGATGAGAGACCATGTCTAAAAACCAGATGGATGGTCCTGAGGAGTGGCACATACGGTTGACCTCTCGCCTCTCTGTACATATACCCAGCATACACACCGAAGTGTTTCTCCCTGATGTTTTAGAGAGCATATTGAGTCCAGCAAAACTTATGAGAGATGGCTTCGTGCTGAAGAGCACTTCTACTCTTGCAGAAGACCCTGGTTTGGTTCCTAGCATCCACATAGTAATTCTAGTTCCAAAAATGCCCTCTTCTGACCCTTGTGGGCATCAGATACACACACGCTGCACATGCATGTACGCACATGGAGCAGAACACCAAACACATGAAATAAAGTCTTTTCAGAAACTTAGAAATGAACTTGTTTCAAGAAAATCACTCATTTATTATTCTTAATATATACTTTATAAATTACTCTGGTGATGTCCCATATATGAGCCACATACATAATTTAAATTTTTATATCTGGGTGGTGGTGGGTAGGTGGGTTTGAGGCCAGCCCAGTCTACAAAGAGTTCCAGGACAGCCAGGACTATTACACAGAGGAACCTGTTTTGAAGAACAACACAAAAGGCCTGGCAGTGGTGGTGGTGCAAGCCTTTAATCCCAACACTCTGGGGTGTCGCAGATGAGCTCTTGTGGCGGGTGGTGGTGTTAGCAGCCCCTGCAACAGTGTTTGGCGAGATGTCTCATACCATTTTGCTGGTACAGCCTACCAAGAGGCCAGAAGGCAGGACTATGAGTCTGTGAATGAGTACATGGAAGGTGTTTGTAAGATGTATGAAGAACATCTGAAAAGAATGAATCCCAACAGCCCCTCCATCACATACGATATCAATCAGTTGTTTGATTTTATTGACGATCTGGCAGATCTCAGCTGTCTTGTTTTACCGAGCTGATACACAGACGTATCAGCCTTATAACAAAGACTGGATCAAAGAGAAGATCTACGTACAAAAAAATGCAAATGGTCTGTTTTGACTGAAGGTCTTTAACTGATGAGCATTTATGAATATTCACAGATAATTAGTTTTAGGCTGGGACTGACACCTGTAGTCCTAGCACTTATGAGGCCGAAGCAGGAAGCATACAGTGAATTTGAAGCTAACCTGTGCTACATAGTTCCAGGCCAGCTTGGGCTACAACATGAAAGCATTGTCTCAAAAAATTAAAATTAGTTTCAGTTCAATCCAATAAAATAAACTCAGCATGAACTTTCTATACACTCTCAAGATGCAAAAGGGACAATCTTTTCATTAAACTCAAGATATGTAGGCTTTATAACTAAAGCCATTCACAGTTTTTGGGCAGTCAAGTTAAAGAAAGCTACATAGTTCTTCACTGCAAAGAGACCAGGAAAATGAATTGTTAGGCTTCAGCAAGACTTAATTTTTTGGAATGAAAGTTAACACTTCTGTTTTTAAGTAATCTAATCCCCCCCCCCATTATTTTAGCCCAAATATATACCAACTTTCTGTTCTGTTAAACATAGTTTAGCTAAAATCTACTGTACCCAGATAAATAAGAGGCCTATTCTCAAAGTGCCTTCTAACCACTAGTAATACTTTCCTTTGGATATGCCTCTGAGAAACCGTCACACACCCAACAAGTTTGGCTTGGACCCATGTCTCCTAAATGACTTTCTGGAACCTTGGGCTTTTAAAAGCACTTACACAAAATTGTTACAGCCTGTTTTTCTCAGGCTATGTGGAAGCCTCTGAACTCCATGAGGGTAGGAGCCATATTTATTGTTATCCAGGACCTGGCACATGAAGGTACTTGGTCTTTGAAGTTCACAACTTGTATAATCTAGAACACTGAGAGCAGCACAATAAACAGGAGTTCTCAGACAGGCTAGCATAGCCAGATAACACCCTGCTATTCACAACCTCTACGTTTCTGGTTCTGATAATATATAGCCGTGAGAAAAGCAAGGCCCAAGCTCTCTTGGAGCTTGCATTGTAACAAAAGGAGATAGCAATAAATCAGTAAACGTCAGAATATGAGATAAGCAGCCTTAAATTACAGCGTTAATGGTTTAGGAGGGCTGTATTAGTTTGGACTGGATGTGAAAAGGAGTTGGATTTAGTTCAGTGCGAGCATCATACGAGCAGACTATCATTACAGAGACTGATGCTGTAATGTACACTCGGACAACAGAAATCCCTTGTGGTCTGCTAGCCAGAGGTAGTGTGAGAAGTTACCGTATATTAGGTGGAACGCCAATGAAGAGAAATGGGAACGCAACCCTCACGCAGCTATCTTCCTCCTGTGTGTGCCATCTCTGTCTACTTACAGCACTTCCCGAACGCCTACATCTACCTTAGCATATCCCAACTGATCGCCAAGTCCTAGATGTCGCTCAGATGGCTTTCCCGAATCTGGACCTCTTCACTCAGTGATCCTTGCTGCCTTAGCACCTTAGACTAGAAATTGCCTCCTACCTGACCACCTTTCCGCCAGCCTTTGTTGTCCACACTGCTTTCAGAGTTCTTCCTCCTACTCTAAAGGGCTCAGTAATAATACTGAGCTGAGCACTTGAGCAAAAGAATGTTTGGTCACTGTGCTACAGGAAGAAGGCACAATGACTCTCAGAGGACTGGAGCATGGAGAGCCTTTAGAAGGCCCTGATGGTAAAGGAGCTTGCCATATCAAACCATGGAGATGCGAAGGAAAGATCCCACAAAGTTGTCCTCTGACCGCCACGTATGTGCCGTGGAAGCGCCACCTCTAACATGAATACACACGCAATGATATTTAAACAAACAAACAGCAATTGGGGGCTGGGTGGTGGTGGCATACACCTTTAATCCCAGCACTCAGGAGGCAGAGGCACAAGAATCTCTGTGAGATCGAACCCAGCCTGGTCTACAGAGCTAGTTCCAGGACAGCCAGGGCTACACAAAGAAACCTATTTTGAAAAACAAAAGAAATAAATTAAAAAAAAAAAACACTTGGAACACAGAGCCCTAATCATATAGTCCTTTGTCTTAAAGTCTCCGATAATTTTCCACCATACAGGAAAAACCAAACGGTGTAAGCTGTACTTATTGCTTCTATTCAACAAGCACAGTGGGCTACAGCTCCATAACCTCTCAGCTTGTCACATCCTGTCCATTTCCTAGTTCTGGGGCCAGATTGCTGGGTTTGACTCAAGCTCCTCTCAACTATCTGTATCCGGATAAACAAGGTACCCCCCCCACACACACACACACAAACACACACCTTGTCTCATGGTACTGCAAGGTTGAGGGGGAAAAAAACCTTTTAGCATAGTGTCTTCTCAGGCAGCTCTGTGGTGTAGGTAATAGTCTTGCAACTTTATAGGCTTAAAAAAATTAAAGTTCATAGTAGTTATGTATGAAGTTGCTTAAGGAAATATAATAATGAAACTATTGAGTACACTGCAGTTCCCTGACGACTTGTGGGTAGGGAACATCCCGTCTCTGTTCTCCAATACGGGGGTGGGGGTGGGGGGGGTGGGATGTCTGACCCTAGTGCTTCAGGAATCTTTCATGAGATCAGACTGTTGAAGATCTGCAAAACCGCATCTGGTTATGTTGAATGTGGGAGATGAGAAGTTGAGGACAGAACAGAGTAAGCAGAGTTAAGAGATTTTTAGTTAGGCTGGGCGGTGGTGGCGCACACCTTTAAGCCTAGCACTAGGAGGCAGAGGCAGGTGGATCTCTGAGTTCAAGCCCAGCCTGATCTACAGAGTGAGTTCCAGGACAGCCCTGGGTTTACACAGGGAATCCCTACCTCGAAAAACAAAACAGGAGTTGTGAAGAGAGGACCTATGGTGGTCATAGGGGAATGAGCTGGACCTGCTGAGTGCGAACTCAGAAGTATTTCAGTTTGCTACAGTATCTTACTATAGTGTCTCTTCAAACAATTCAAGTAACTGCCACTCCAATCACAGCTCGAGAGGAGAGGGCCACCGCGGAAGTGTGATGCAGCTCGGGGAGCCGGTGGGGGGTGTAGGAAAGGGGTCTGTAGGCCCGGAGACACCGTGGGGTAGCCCTTCGGCTCCCACGACTCCCACAACCGGCGTCGCTCAAGGTACGCGGGACTCCTCGGCAACAAGAGGGCACGCGGAGGCGGAGGAAAAGCTCAGCGAGCCGGAAACTCCGAGAACCGCTTCCGGGTCAGGGGGCAGGAGCCACCATGGAAGCTCACTGGGCCGCGGGGCCGCCTAAGCCGCTGGCGGGCTTCTGAGGCGAGTGAGGCGGTACGCGGCCGGCGCTGCTCGCCGTGGATCCGCGGGCCTCCGCCATGTCGGTGCTGGGCGAGTACGAGCGACACTGCGATTCCATCAACTCGGACTTTGGAAGCGAGTCCGGGGGTGGCGGGGACTCGGGCCCGGGGCCCAGCGCCAGCCCGGGGCCGCGAGCCGGCGGCGCGGCGGAGCAGGAGGAGCTGCACTACATCCCCATCCGCGTCCTGGGCCGCGGCGCCTTCGGGGAGGCCACGCTGTACCGCCGCACCGAGGTAGCGGCCCTCGGCTCCGGCCACCGCCGGGCCGCCCCGCGCCCTCCTTCCCGGCCCCGCTTGCCAGTCCCGCTTGCCCTCTGTGGTCAGGCATCCTCTGGGTTTATACCTCAGGGGGCTCCACCGCGCTTTCGGTTCACCCGCACTAGGAAGTTGCTTTGATCACCTCTGTCACGGTCACTTTTATTTCACCGGGCGAACCGAGCGAGTCACTGAGCAGTCTTTTGAATTTTCGTTTTCCCGTTTGTAACTGGACTTAGCAATAACTACCCTAAAGAAAGTTACCTTTACTTTTTTAAAGGTTATTTTGAGGTCTAAACGAAGGTACTTTGCACATTGTGAACAGTCATCCAGCTGTTCAAGGTCGGGTCGGGAGATGGTATATACTTGTGAATACCCCACTGACATCAACTCTGCTTGTAGTGTCGTTATTTTTAAGTTCATAAGTGATCATCCAGTTGGAGGATTTTCTAAATCACCAGGAAGATCATCGTATCTTTTTTTTTTTCTCCTTGCTAATCCTTCAGTGCCTGTGTAAGGGTAATATTTTATTGGTGTAGCTAGTTCTTAACTATAGGAGGGATAAGGACCCCTTTCTTTGAGAACCCGGGAAAGCCAAGCCATCTTTCCCACCTTGCAAAGTTCACATCCTTTGGAGAGACCCAGGGATCACTGACTCTCAAATTAAGAGTATGCACTGATTTAAAACCCTGTAGTGATGGTTCTGCTCCCCAAAACTCACCATGCATTGGGCTTAATCACGCCAGCCTTAAAGCTCTAGCTTTAGGGTAAACATTTAATGAGAACTTGCTGAGCTTGCAGAAGGTGATTCATCCACCTGCAATTCTAGCGTCTGCTCCCAGCCAGCATTTTTTTTGGGCTGAGGATGAAACAGGCTCCGCCAATGCTAAGGAAGGCATTCTACCACCGAGCCACACCTCCAGCCCCCAGCGGATGCCGTTCTAACAGTGGTAGAATAATGTCGTCAGTAGTAGTCTGCCTTCTTACTCGTGCTCAAAATGAGTGTCCGCGCTGTTTTCTAGCATTGAAGCCAGTGTATTTAAGTGGCTTACTCATTCAAGGTTTAGAATAAATCTTAGACGATAGCTCCAGTCTCAACGTTTCTTTCCTTTGTTAGCGTGTCGGACTCACACACTAGCCTTGAGTTGCTTTTTATCACGCTTCTCAGAAACGTTGATATTATCTGTATCATCCACTGTTTCTTAGATCTGGATTTACAAAGCTTATTAGAAGCAGCCCTTCCCCTCTAGATAGAATTTGGTGAGAAGGTCAGTCAGCCTTGTTAGTAAGCAGGGTTTCAGGCGCGGATGTATGTCAGGAAAAAGAATGGGGGACTCCGAGTGCACAGGTGCCGAAATAAGAGAATGGCTCACTTACATGTATGATAAAAGGGCCAGAGTTTTCCAGAAGAGAGTTTTAAAGGCCTTGCAGAAGCAGTCGACAGGAATGCTAATGTCGGTGATGGTGCTGATAGGATAGGAAACATATCTAAAGAGTTGGAAGTATCCCAAAAATCAAGTTAGGGCCTTTTGCATGGAAGTAACTGCAGATTGTGAGGATTAAAAAAATAATAAGACTAGGACGTTCTGATCCTGGAAGAATAAGTAAAAATTATGAAGTTTAAATGTATGGAATCAGGCAGGCTTAATACTTTGATTTTATAAGGCCCCGTCGTCAGCTGTAGAGGCTGCCACGTGTTCTCTCTCCCCCGCATTCTCGCACTACCACTAGGGACCAGCAGCATCCCTCAGTAGAGTCCTTAGCTCTGCTCTCATCTAGACTTCTACCTGAACTGATACTGTGCAGATTATGGGTAGCAACAAAAGTAATGGTTTCATTTTTTTTCTACATTTATTTATTTTGTGCGTTTATTATTATGTGTGTGGAGGGGTCAGAGGACAACTTGTGGGTCTCAGTTCCTCCACCATGCAGGCTCTGGGGCTTGACTTCAGGTCATTAGGTTTGGCAGTAGCACCTTTACCCACTGAGCCATCTTGCCAGCCCTCAGAGTAGCTTTTTTTTTTTTTTTAAGATTTAGTTTTATTTTTAGTTCACTGTCTATACATGGTTATATGCAAGTAAGTGCAGGTCCCCTCAGAGGTCAGGGACATTGGATCCCACCTCAGTCCTCCCAAGATCTAAAGTTATAGGCACTTGTGAGCTGCCCAAGGTTGACACCGGCAATCAAACTTTGGTCCTCTGCAAAAGCAATACACCCACTTAAACACTGAGCCATCTCTCTAGGCCGGAAAATTATACGTTAATGTTTAACTTCCCCTAGTTCTTCTGCAAATTATAATAATTGTGTGCAGAACCTTTAAAGTCTATTAAAAGGAAAAAGTAAAGAGTCGTTCTTTGCCCCTCTAGGAGGTTTTCTTTCTAGGCTCACAGGTTGGGTATGGATCCGTGCACTGCCAGGCAAGAAGAAAACACAATGCTCCTGCTACTGTGTTGTAGGATGACTCACTGGTGGTGTGGAAGGAAGTCGATCTGACTCGACTTTCTGAAAAGGAGCGTCGCGATGCCTTGAATGAGATCGTCATTCTGGCGCTGCTGCAGCATGACAACATCATTGCCTACTACAACCACTTCATGGACAACACCACCCTGCTGATTGAGCTGGAGTACTGTAATGGTAAGGCCGATTGCAGTGAGGGAGAGGAGTGTAAGCAAAGACGGACAGTGGTAGACTGTGAGTGGATTCCGGAGTAGGAAGGGTTGAGGTCTTGGAGCATTTGAGGTGATGTTCAGAGTATCGGGGGAGTTCCCTTCCATCATCACTTTCTTGTGGGTCCATTTCTGGCCATCTTCAAATTATTCTTACTGAGTTTTGTTGGGGTGAGGATAGGTTCTTTCTGGGTTTTTAGTTGTTTTTGTTTGGTTTTGTGAGTCTCGCTGTATCTCAGGCTGGTAAAGAACTCAGTGTCTAACCCAGACTGGCGTAGAACTGGTGGCAGTCCTCCTGCTTCTGCTTCCCCAGCGCTGAGATTTTAAGCCACCACTCCTGGCTCTTTAAATTATTTTCAATTGTATTTTGTATAAATTTTTCGAGATTTTTCCTCATGGAATAGCATTAGCTCATCATTTTAGACATAGTGTAGACTAGTACCAAACAATGTAGTGTTTAATGAAATCTTATGGGATATTTGTTTACATTAGCTTCAGTTACTGCTGTCCTACTGATAAGTGGTCTAAAGATCATAAATGAATGAGAACAATAGCATGATATGGCCTTATTTTTCTGGTTTCTGAGTTCTTTGATGAATTTTCTTATAGATAGCAACTCTGTCTAGTTGTTTAGAAACAAAATACTGGGGCTGGAGAGATGGACCTCATCCAGAGGTCCTGTGTTCAATTCCCAGCAACCACATGGTGGCTCACAACCAGTATATTGAGACCTGATGCCCTCTTCTGGTGTGTTGTAAAATAAATAAATATTTAAAAAAATACCTACTGACCTGATTTCCCAAGTTTCATTGCTCTTTCACCTTAAGCAAAATAACAACATTGTTTCCTCATCTTAAATGAGTTTGTTGATTCTAAAGATTTATTGAGTTCTTGTCCATAGCAAGACCTCCTTACTATACACTAGAGTCCCCAGAGCCCTTTTCTGAGCTGCACGGTGAGGAGGCACCAGCATATTCACCTGCACTGTTTCTGGCTCTGAACAGCCCTAAATGTGCAAGTAGTTTTGAAAGAGCACAAACCTTACATAATTCACTTCCTTTGTGGTTAAGGGGAACTAGAAAAAAATGATTTTCTTTCTTATTTCTTCTCTTCATTACTGAATTGCAGGGGAGGAGAACTGTAAAACTTTAATCATAAACTGGAGCTGTGGGTAGGAAATAAGATGAAGTTTACACTCCTTCCACAGGAAAAAGTAAAAACTTGAAAGGAATAATAAATAACTTAAAATGATCTGGGGTAGACCCTAAATTTTAGGAACCCTCTCCGTGCAAATCAGGAATTGTTGTTAAATACTGTATTTTTAATCTGCATCAGAAGTGTAACCCACAGGTCCTAGTAGACATGCTGCCGAAAGTGCGGATTGCTTCTAGGGAGTCTAGCAGAGAAAATGCTCTGGCTTTGAAGCTGTCCCCTAGAGGCACATGAGTGGTCTTAAGGTTTTCTAAAGCTGATCGTTCCCTTTCTCGTATTGAGCCTCTTGTGTTGGGGAGGAGACTTTGGACAAATATTTCTGACTCGGAAATTGGAAGAATTTTGTACCTATGTAAAAAACCAAGAGGGGAGAAATAATTTCTTTTGGAAAGGAAGCAGAACCCTTCATTTCCTGATGTCACTTGTTAAAACTCCTATTAACACAGGATCCACGCTTTTATCACCACTGAGCTCCTCAACCTGTTTCTTGTTAATTGCAGGAGGGAACCTGTATGACAAAATCCTTCGTCAGAAGGACAAGTTGTTCGAGGAAGAGGTAATTCATCTGTGTGGAAGGAAGCTAGAATTATGTTTAATTCTTGCATTCTGGTTCTGCATTTACTCTTTCAACAATGAAGAGTGTTTTTCTCCTTTTGTTCAGACTCCTTCCAGGCTCTGAGTGATATTCATGAGAAAGGAAACCTCTAACAAGGAAGCTGTCTATAGCTGCTTCCTAATGCTTTACCTCCACACCATGATTCACTATGGGCTTTCTTTCCTGGTTCTATTACTGCATACTGGTATGCCCAGTTTTCTGTACCTTTGCATTCTTCCTGGGGTTCTTTCCACAAGTCTGCTTTACCATCCTGTATGTCATGACCTTGGAACTATTTTAGATGACCTGCGTTTTCTTTTCACCCTTACTACTTTTCTTTGCCTACTCAACCTACCAGCAAGGGCTGTCAAGTCATGTTGAGTTGTAACCTCTGGTTGCACTTCTTTTGGTGTGTGTGTGTGTGTATGTCTTTATTTAAATGGAGTTTTTGTTTCTAATCCTAATGTGACTTTGAATCTGCAGATGGTGGTGTGGTACCTTTTTCAGATTGTGTCAGCAGTGAGCTGTATCCATAAAGCTGGGATCCTCCATAGGTAATGAATGACTGGAAAGAAACTTGTGGATTGGAATCTCCACCACCTCCCATTCTCTACCAGAAGGACCTCCCATTGTCATACTCTTGTCAAGGTTTCTCCACTGTAAACTAGGGGGAAAGAGTGGATAAAGAGGGATGTTGTCTTCAGTCTCTGAGGGTAGACAGGTTTGTGATCTGAGAAGAATCTCAGCTGCTAAGTCGCTGAGCTCTTAGTCATTCTTTAGTTGTACTCTGGAGTTGAGTTCACTGATCTATCTCTAAAGCCACAAAGTCCTGGAAAGGGAATTCACCGTGAATGTTTTCTCTAAGGTAGAGTAGTTGGCTACTCTACTGTAATTTTATTTTGATTTAAATAAAAGCCTGTTCATTTCGTATGATTTGGCCAAGTCTTAACTTGATGAAACTTTGGGGAGAAAAGGTTACCATTCAGTTCTTGCAATAGAAGAAAGCCTTTATAAGAACATTTCCACATTATTATATTCTTGCTCACAATTGGTTATAACATGCCAGTTTCTTTTAATAGTTAGTCCATTTAATTAGACTGTATTTCTTTGAAGATACAAAGTGCCTATATTGCATGGTTATCACTTTTTAACTATATTGTTCCAATTTACTCACATTTTGCAATAAAAGAAGCCAGAGGGTGAGCCATATAGAGATTGTGTTATATTATCGGTTCATTTTTAGAAAAGTGGCCAGTATCTTATTTAGATGACTGAAACAGCCTAGGATATTGTTTCTGAGGCATGAAGTCTCTTGTGCCTTAACAGATTATTTGAAACTTTGGCACCATCTGTCTGTTACGGTATTTAATTCAAGGCCTAGCTAGTAGTTGAGAAGGCAGTGTACGTTGTCTGGAGCACTGTTTCATTATCTGACTCTTCTCTCGGTGGCCCCACTGACCTGTGAGACTCTCTGTTGCTGTGAAGTCATGCTCTGCCTTTACTTCCTAAGCCCTTCTTCAGTAGTAAACTGGTGCTGACTGCTGTAGGAGGCATTAAAACCTTGTGACAGAAGCCCAAGTGGTGGTAGCAGTCACTTTTATTCTGTACGGATCCCAGGAAAGGGGAAGGGGGGAGGTTAGGTCATTGTCATAGGGATTTAATACATGACACCTTCTTTTTTAGAGATATAAAGACATTAAATATTTTTCTGACCAAGGCAAACCTGATAAAGCTTGGAGACTATGGCCTAGCAAAGAAACTTAATTCTGAGTATTCCATGGCTGAGACAGTGAGTATTGCCTTTATCTTGAACTTTTTTTGAAGTTTTTTAAAGTGTGTGTGTGTGTGTGTGTGCGCGCGCGCGTGCGCGCGCGTGCACGTGTGCCTGCGTGGGTTTATATACACCACATGAGTGTAGGTGCCCACAGAGATCAGAGAGGGTATTGGAGTTATAGGCAGTTGTGAGCCACCTAATGTGGATGCTGGGAACCACACCTGCGTTCTCTTCAAGAGCTATAAGTACTCTTAACCACAGAGCCATCTCTATAGCCCCCTTAATATGTTCTTTGTTACATTTTGTTTTGGGTGAGTATACATGCATATGTGCATGCATGCATAGGTGCATATGGAGCTTATAGGAAAACCCATGGGAGTCACTTCACTCCTTCTACCATGTGGATCCTGAGGATTGAACTCAGACGTCAGGTTTGGCACCAAGTCCATTAGCAGCTGAGCCATCCTACCTAATTAACAAAGATCATTAGGGCCGGGCGGTGGTGGCACACGTTCAGAGGTAGGCAGATCTTTGTAAGTTCAAGGCCAGCCTCCTGTGTGAGCTTTGAACCATTGAGCTTTAGTCTTCCAAGCTCTCCATAATGGGTTACCAAAAATTACCCTTTGGTAAGTGACTCAGGAGTTGCTATGAATACTGTTTCTCCTCTTCTGCTGGACTGCTCCTCTACTCACTGACCCACTGAGCTCAATTCCCAGTATCACTATTTCTCCTTAAGTTGGCATCATATCATGAAAACCTTTTTGCAACTGACTAATGGACGTTTTGTGATTGTTATTGCTAATTCCTGCAATTTAGCTATTGAAGTGTTTATATGGTTACCCGAGAAGAGAAGATAATTCTGTATTTCTTGTTTTTGTTGTTTAGCTTGTGGGTACTCCATATTACATGTCTCCAGAGCTCTGCCAAGGAGTAAAGTACAATTTCAAGTCTGATATCTGGGCAGTTGGCTGTGTCATTTTTGAACTACTTACTCTAAAAAGAACATTTGATGCCACAGTAAGTTGGATATTGCCCCCATATGTCTTTGCAATGCAGTACATGTTGAAGTGAATCAACTTTATTTATCCCTGAATTTCTAATTTCCTGAACAGAAATCACCTGTAGTAAAACAAACAAGAAAGCATATAGTTACATTCTGGGTTATGGTCTGTAATTAAAATGCTATAGCCAGGTTTATCTCCAGCTTGATTTCATCTGTTGAGATGACCATAAGCAAGCAGTTGGAACACTGAACTTGAATTTGTTGACTGTAATTCTAAATAGTCTCTTAGAGTCACCTGTGTGACTCTACAGTTTGGAAAACTGTTCCATTTCTTATACTTTAGCTACACCAGTTTTGTCTTGTTTTCAAGCTAAAACATATAATGTATAACACTTACCAGAGTATTTTAAAACATCACACACTCTCTAAGTAGAGATCACCTTTGTTTCTGTGGACAGCAAATCTCTTTAAATCTTTTTTTCTTTTCTCTTCTTTAAACCCTAATGTAAAAACAAACAAAAAACCCGTTTCTCAAACTTTAATACACATTTGGAATCATGTGGACATCTTATTACAATGTAGATTCTGTTTGACCAGGTAGGGGAGGGATGGGCAAAAGTCTGTGCTCCTCACCAGCTCCCAGATGCCACTGTTGGCTTTGCTCCACGGACCTCACTTTGGAGCAGCTGAAGAGGATTCTAATTGCCCACTTTGCTACAACCAGGTGTGAGAATGTAGACAGATCATTTCTGTGGTCCTGTTTCACCACTGTAACATGGAAATGATGTGTATCTCCCCGTGGAGATTTTCTGATATCGAATATGGAGAAAAGCAAATGTAAGGTAAAGCAGACTCACCGGTCTATTTCGAGACCCATTTCTTATCTCAATTGGTATGTCCTCTAATTCTCCCAATAGCAGAGTGGAAGAGAAACAACTTACGGAATGCACAGACTTTGGATGGCATGGTGCCTTGTTTTTTACTATCTGTGATTTTGGACAAGTTATTTTATATTTCTGAGCTCCATTTTTCTTGTGTACAAGTCAATGATCTAATAGTTTCCTTACATTTTATTTTTAAAGATAAAAATGATGTGTGTAATATGCCTGTCTGGTTTGTAGTAGTTCCTCAGTCAGGCGATTGTAGCTCTGTTACACTGTGTTAACTACTGTATCTTAAGATACTTTGTGATTGTTTTACTGGAGGCAGCTTAGTTAGCAAGGGAATTAAGGAAACCAAGAAGCATGCTTAATCATGCTTCGTTTTGTGCGTGTGGAGGGGGGCACAAGGTCTCCTGTAGAGCACACTGGCCTCACTGTCTATCCAGGGATGACCTTGATCCTCTTGTCTCTGCCTCCCTGTGCTCCTGCACCTGGTTGTTTCCCTTTATCTTGAGATTCAGCTGAAGGATGAGATTGTAATCTGAGGAAACACACTGCTCACTACACAGGCCTGGTTTTGGTATCTGCTAGAGTTTGAGTCATTCCATCCGACAGCAGCAACACATCTCCCCTTCCTCCCGACACATCCTAATAGTTCTAAGATAGAATCAGCTCATACAGAACTGTTGCCACTTCCTGGGAGAGTCACAGATAGATAGATACCTCTGGGCACCTGCTTGGTAGAATGCTTTTTGTTTTCCTTTTAAAAATTTTTAGTTATTTTGTTCATATGAGTATTTTGCCTGCCTGTAGATCTGTACACCACTTGAGTTCCTGGTGTCTGCAGAAGTTAGAAGAGAGTGTTGGATATTCTGGCATAGCAGTAGCACATAGTTGTGAGCCATCATGTGGGTGCTGGGGATTGAACCTGAGTTCTTCGGAAGACTACCCAGCCCCCTTAACTGCTGAGCCATTCTTCAGACCTCAATAATGCTATCTTTACATAACTAGGAGCAATGCGGTCATCCTTTTCTTCTAGAACCCACTCAACCTATGTGTGAAGATTGTGCAGGGGATCCGGGCCATGGAAGTTGACTCTAGTCAGTATTCTTTGGAACTGATCCAGTTGGTCCACGCTTGCCTTGACCAGGTAGGCTTAATGTAGTTATTCATTTATTTCATGTAGCTGCCATGTTTGCAGTATGACGTAGATATGAAACACACAAAACCACATCTCCCTCCTCAGACTTGTCTCAGGATAAGCATTGGTAATTCATGGCATCTGTGTGCTTTAGCAAACAAAGCCTTACTTCATTCTACTTTTTAAAACAGTTTTTTAAATATTTATTTTTATTTTATGTGTATTGGTGTTTTGCTTGCACATGTTTGTGTGGCAGCGTCTGATCCCCTGGATCTGAAGTTACAGATCTGAAATTATAGTTGTAAACTGCCATGTGGTTGCTGGGAATTGAACCAGGTCCTCTGGAAGAGCAGCCAGTGCTCTTAGCAGATAAGAAGTCTCTTCAGCCTTTACTTTTTTCTATTTTGGAAATATGTAATTGTAAGATGATTTTAACATCTAGATTGTGTTCCATTTTTTATGGTCCAGTTTTGGTTTTTGTTTTAAACAAGGTGTCATTACATAGCTCAGGCTGGCCTGGAGCTTGCTGTGATCCTCCAGTCTCAGCCTCCCAAGTGTTGAAACTCTATACACCATCACACCTTGTAGGAAGATTAGTTTGATTTTATAAAACTACAATCATTCTGGGCTGTGGTGGTGTACACCTTTATTCCCATCAATCAGGAGGCAGAGACAGAGGGATCTCTGTGAGTACAAGACCAGCCTGGTCTACAGAGAAAATTCCAGGACAGCCAGGAAACCTGTCTCAGAATAAACAAACAAACAAAAAACAACCTACAGTCAGGTACTATTTTAAATTCTGAACATAAAGAATATATATAGCCATATTAAAGTTCCTTTACTGTGTATTGAGTCCTAGTGTTACTGATGGTATGGCCAGAAAGCCACCAACATCAGAATCACCCAGTTGGAGAGTTTTATATGGAAAAAGAATATTCCTGGGTCTTACCTCAGACCGCAGAGCCTCAGGATAAAGCCCAGAAATCTCTCTTTACAAGTGCCAAGGTGACTCAGTGCTTATGTATTAGGCTTTGAAAGTTGCTGTCTTAACTGAATAGATGAGGGCACATTATACAAATCCTCATCATAGCAGGGTTTGTCATAGCAAGATGATTGATAAGCATTAAACACGAGAATGTGACATAAGAATAAAGTCATTTTTGTGAAACAAAGTCTGATTATGACTGGCCAGGGACTTGCATTGTAGACCAGGCTGAATCACAAAGATTTATTTACCTGCCTCCACATCGTGAGTGCTGGAATTAAAAGTGTGCTCCCCCACACCTGGCAAGAAACTATAATTTTATTATTATAGTCTTCTTGTTGTTTTAAAATTTTATTTATCCATATATTTTACATATATGAGTGTTCTGTCTTCATGCACACCAGAATTAGGAATCAGATCCCATTACAGATGGTTGTAAGCCACTATGTAGTTACTGGGAATTGAACTCAGAGCCTCTGGAAGAGTAGTCAAGTGTTTTTAACTGCTGAACCATCTCTCTAGGCCCTTTTTTTTTGAGAACTTCATATATGGATGCTACATCACCCCTGCCCCCACTCTCCCCCTCTAATTCCTCCCATGTCCCTCCTCCCAAATTCTTGATTTCTTCTTTATTATTGACACATGTAAATATATTCATGCATATATATGTACACGTGTCTATAACCTATGGAGTCCAGAGTCTAGGGAGAGAAGGATAACTTGCATTGGTCCTGGTTATATAAAGTTAGCATTATTGGGCTGGAGGGATGGCTCAGCAGGTCCGAGCACTGGGTGATCTTCCAAAGGACACAGGTTCAATTGCAAGGCAAGCACCCACATGGTGTGTTACTCACACTCACAACTATGTGTTACTCCTATTCCAGAGGATCCAGCACTCTTGTCTTGTGTGTACATGTGTCTAGGGCTGACCACTTGGGTTTGGACAACCTATGAAGGAACTCGTTTGTGGAGAACTCATTGTTCCTTGTTCAGTAGCACTGACTACTGGTAGCTCTTGATGGAGAGCTGGGACCATGCGGACGTTCCCGTCCTTGTTGACGTATTAACTGGTGGAGTCACTATGCTGATCTTACTCAGCAACCATACTATTGAGAATTCATGGGTGCGTTTTCCCTATTGTGTCTAGGAGACAGGATATATTAACAGGCATTTTGGGCCTCTCATTCTTGGGAATTATAATTTTAAAGATGAAAGTGTGCATATTGTTCTTTAGCTAACTTATCTACAAAAGTAAAACTCTTCATTAGAGTCCATATTGTCCATTCACTGTAAAAGAAAGCTAACCTTTTTACTGTTTAGGACCCTGAGCAGAGACCCACTGCAGATGAACTTCTGGATCTCCCCCTTCTCAGGAAACGCAGGAGGTAATCTACAAAGAAATCACTTCATCCAGAGATGGTTGACAGTACACAAGGAAGGGTGCTCTTTCCTTCCCCAACACCCTGCTCTCGTTGCTTAAGGGTACCTCCTCACTTTTACCTCTTTAACTATTTACTCTGGAATTGTCCTGATATAACCAAGAGCTCTCTGTCCCTTCATATCTTTTATTCTACAGTTGAGGCATTAGTAGCCTAAGATTTGCATTTAGGTGCTTAGGGTAGGGGTTTTTCTGTTTGGAGACAGGACCCGGGCTGTAACCCGGGCTGACATCAAACATGCCATCCTCCTGCCTCAGCTTCCCAAGCCCTGAGATTATAGGCATCCATCAGCCGATTTTTAGTTTTTTTGAAGAACCTCCATACTATAGCATACTAATTTGTATTATCACCAACAGTGTATAAGTCCTGTCTCACCACATTCTTGCCAGTTATGTTACTTTTTAGCTCTTTTGATTGGGGCAAGAAAATCTCCCCAGGTTTTGGTTTGCTGTCTTGGTGATGGTGATATTGAATTTTTCTTATATACATGTCATTTTGTTTCCTTTTTTATGTTTAAGGGTGTCTATTCAAATTACTATTTTAAAAATGAGGTTATCCCAGCACTCAGGAGGCAGAGCAGGAGGATCTCTGTGAGTTCGAGCCAGCCTGGTCTACAGAGCGAGTTCCAGGACAGCCAGAGAAACCTTGTTTACAAACAAAAAAATGAGGTTAGGGTTATTTTCTTAATTGAATATTCAAGTTCTTCATGTGTGTTCAAGAAATTAGCCCCTTATCAGATGAACTTGTCAGTTTTTCTCCTACCCTATAGGCTTTTCTTCACCATGTTATTTCCTTTGCTGTATAGAAGCTTTTTAATTTGATGTATCCCATGTTTCAGTTTTGCTCTTATTGCCTCTGCTTTGTCTTGTCTATGTTCTGAACCTCTTTTTCCTGTATTTTCTTTTAATCCTTTTTTTTTTTTTTTTTTTTTTTTTTTTTTTTTTTTTTTTTTT